AGCATGAGAATTTTTCTTATTTGTAGTGCTCTTTTCTAAATTATGAGGTTCTTGACAATTCTTTTAAGATTTCTATTATATTTACTACTTGTATTACCTTATTGTTATTACAAAATGCCACAAATTGGTGGCTTAAAACAAATTTCTTATCTTACAGTTCTGGTGGCTCGAAGTCCTAAAATCAAGATGTCAGCAGAGCTGCAGTACTTCTGGGAGCTCCCAGGAAGACAGTTTCCCTAGCTTTTCTGGCTTGTAGAAATCGCCGGCAGTTCTTGGCTTATGGTCTCGTTCTTCATCTTCAAAAGGAGCAGCATAGCATCTCCCCATCTCTCATCTTCTGCTTCCCTCTTATAAGAACCCTTGTGATTATATTGGGCTCCCTAAGATAATCTCCCCATCTCAAAATCCTTAATTGAATCACAACTGCAAAGCCTCTTCTGCTATATAATGTAACACAGTCACAGGTTCCTAGGGGGCTATTACTTGGCCTACTGTACTACTACCACTGGCAAAATTTTATTGTATACCATGAGCTAGGCACTGGGCTAACTGCTTTACATTTTTTTATCTCAATTAGCCCACAAGCCACACACTAAGATTGAGTAACTTTCTTAGGCTTTTAAGTCATTGCTTTCTGATAAATGACAGCAATTCATCACTAAATTGAGTAACCATGATTCACAAAATCTGCATTCCCACTCCTGTCTAGCACTGACTTGTATAGGTCTACAAAGGTAACTACGAAAGTAAGACTACGAACTTGTATTTTTAGAAAAATGTTAAGTCATGTGGGTAGAAACTTGCATTTAGAAATAAGCCACATTGGGGCACCTGGGTGGCTCAGTTAAGCCTCTGCCTTCAGCTCAGGTCATGATCCCAGAGTCCTGGGATCGAGCCCTGCATGGTGCTCCCTGCTCAGCCAGGAGCTGCTTCTCCCTCTTCCTCTGCCTGCCACTCTCCCTGCCTGTGTTCTCTCTCAAACAAAAAAAATCTTAAAAAAAAAAAGTTACACTTATGAGTGGTTAGAACTAAAGCTGTAGTTACTGGGTTCATTTAGCTTAGAACCTTGAGACCAGTGCTAATTAGATTTACGGTTGCTTCTCCTAAGTGGGACATTTCATTGCACTCAGCTTAGAAATTAGGACTTATATTCTCGACGAAGATACTAAGAAATACAGACCTTCAAGTAGGGCCTTCATCAGAAAAGTGTGGGTTAATGCCCCAAACCCATCACTGCTGCTCAAATACGATTTATAAACTGATGAGCACTGAAGAGTCCCTTGTTATCATGGAGCTGAGAAGTAGCTGTTCAGTGTGTGTTTGCCACTCACATATATTGCATGCAGTCCTCACTGCACTGCGAGAAACACAAATGAAGCGCAGCAGATGCATCTAAACAGAGGGCCTGCCCAATGATCCTTCGGCACCTGAAACTTGTTAGGTATTAGAAGGGTTAGAGGCTCTTGAACACTAGTTTGAGCCCTTCAGTGGTCTGATTTGATGAAGGCTTTTTAAAGATTGGATACAATTAAGGAGATATATACAATTATAAAACTTGAATATAGGAATAGTTTAGCCCAGTGGCTTCCAGCCTGTTGGCTATAAGCTCTAGCGGCAGATGGGAGTTATTGTAAGTAGCCCATTAATCCATTTGAGCACCGAATGTTGTAGGTAGACTAAGTATAACCTACATATCAAACGCAGATATGGCTGGGATAAGTACACAGTTTTTCATTAAAAGACCACTGAATTCATAGAAACTTTTGATCATTTTTCCTTTTATTAATCATTAGGTGCTTAACGGACATTAAGTTCATTAAATTCTGATATTCTTAGAGTGGTTGGACACTTCTGTTCTAGCTTGGAAAATTTAGCGAAGTGTCCATGGAACACTTCTAACGCACAAACACTTCCAGTCACCCGAGATTGAAGCTTTAAAAGAGCTCCATCTGACAGGCTCCCAGAAGATACACTGAATTAAACAATAACATATCAAATAAGACCAACTAATAATGCTGATGAAACCTTTCAATTGGAAATTTTTCTATCATGATAGCTTATGAGAAAAGTTAACAAAAGGTATAATAAAGTACTGTTTCATTTCTTTAACTTGCCTGCAGTAAGTTCCTAAATCAATAAGCTGGGTATGTCAGATTTTAAAACCCAACACTCTCTTCTCTAAAGAAAAGATATCTAAAGAAAATACACCTGTGTGGCTAACTTAGTTAAGCATCTGCCTTCGGCTCAAGTCATGATCCCAGGATCCTGGGATCGAGCCCCACATGGAGCCCCACTTTGGGCTCCATGCTCAGTGGGGAGTCTGCTTCTCCCTCTCCCACTTCCCCTGCTTGTGTTCCCTCTCTGGCTTTCTCTCTCTGTCAAATAAATAAAATCTTAAAAAAAAAAAAAAAAAAGATTTTATTTGAGAGAAAGCACAAGTGAGGATGGGAGTGGGGAGGGGTAGAGGGAAAGCAGACTCCCCAACCTGAGCAAGGAGCCTGACGCAGGGAACAGTCCCAGGAACCCTGGGATGGCGACCTGAGCCAAAGACAGGTGCTTAACTAAGCCATTCAGGCACACCTGTATCTGGCTTTTAATTTGTAGATGACAGCACTATCAGTTAGTACAGGACTTTACAAAACATTTTTGCATTAAAGGATCTCAAAGTTGGATTATTCTTATTTGTAGTCTCTCAAAAACAAAAACAACAACAAAAAAAACTCCATCAAATAAAAAAACTTGTTTCAAATATGAGAAAACCATAAAAAAGGTGATTTTTCCAAAATTATAGTATAATTAAAGAGCTTAAGTTATTTAAACACACACACACAACAGCAACAACATAAACAATATGGATTTGATTTTAGAAGTATCATACAGATTTTTCTAAATACATTTTGATTATTTGATCCCAAGTAAGAAAAACCAGGAACATTTTGTAGTCATCTTACCTTCCTTAAATGAAGAAAGAAAAACCCTCTGATTTAAATTGACTGTATAGCACTGTTTGGGTGTTGAACACATTCTTTTTCAGTCATTTTCAGACCTAGTATAATAAAAATTCTTCTTTAAAGAACAGTATTTCAGGCCTTCATGATTCTCTTCAATACCTAAATAATCATTTACCAAAATAAACAGGTTTGTTGCAAAAAGCACAGAGTTGGGTTTTAGAATTTATAATTATAAAGGATCCAATATTTATAAACTCTGCACATATAAAAAAAAGCCTTCCTGTCTACAGGACTGTATGACAATGGAATATCTCAAGGAGTTTGCAGCCTCTCCCTAGCAATCTTAACCATAGTTTAAAAGAGTTAAGCTGGGTCGGCTTTAGCTCAAGCGGTTACTTCGCAATCAGTCTTCATAAAAGAGTTAAGCTCCAGCTTTCTGAAATGGTGTAAATTACAGTTGTGTCACTAGGGAGAAAGATTTACTGAATGCTTTTCAGTATGTTTTTAAAGCCACGGAACCATTACAAAATTTAGACTGACTCCACAGCTCTTGCTTAGTTAAAACAATATACAATACTACACAGGAATTTTAAAATTATTACACTGGAGGCTGTAAGTACTGTCAGAGATGCTCACATTTACAAATCAGATCACTTTAAGTTGGCTGAAAGCTAAGGTGCTCGAGTGCTGACAAGATCTCTAGAATTCCTTCGCATGTTTCCATCAGCACCTGTTGATGGGGACAATCTGCTCATTTTTCACTATAGCTGTTTGCTGGTAAGACAACTTGTTCCTTTTCCTCAAATATTTACCTGCAAAATAAAATATTCAGTCTTCTCTTGTGAAACTTACATGTGACTGCTACCTAATATAGTTTCTGCTGACTCCTGGAGCACAAAAGTTTTAGCAGCAGGCTCTGATTGGGTCTGTTCAGTCGCTCAGTCACATATTCACTCAACCAGTCAACAAGCATTTACGGACAGATCATCCACTATGTGCTGAATTCACTTATCTTAAATGGAACCAAAACAACAAAAGTTTTAAAGAATTACCAGAACTTTTATTTTTGCTTAGTTTTATTAAAAAAATAAATATGTCATAAAGCTTTATTTTCCTTTAAGGAGAAAAAAAGGAACAAGTTTCATAAAATCAAATAAGCAATGGTAAGGTGTCTTGACTTGAAAAAGATTGGGAATCACTGGTTTACAAAGTTATAATTGACTGAAAGAACTGTAACAGCCACAGTTGGCTGTTTCATGCCAATGGCAGCAAACAACGAGATCAACTAGGGCAAAATAAATAATTGTGTGGAAGCCCTGGTAAGTGCTTAAACAGACTGATTCACTGAGACATCAGGATAGATATATCTTGCTTCAAACAACACAGGAGTTCCTGAAAAGTTTTGTGTAAATGAAATAGCCACAGACATACTAGGAGAGCTTGGTATCTGAAAGAATTCCACAGTGAATTCTTTTGGGAACGACCACTTCCATTTTTGTAAATCCGGGTATTGGCTTTGCTTAAGGCAAAGTATACCTAGCTGCTACCTCTCTGAACTGAGGTATTAGCATACACACCGAACACTGCTCCAGCTGGGTCAGTGGCACAATTTCCAAGTTTGTGTTTCTATTAAGTAGTGTAAAATAGAGTCAGCCAGGGAACCCAGCTGCATCTGGCAAAGCAGGCAAAGGGTGGGATAACCACCTTTAACAATATTTCCAAGCCAACAAATACTTTGGAGAGTCTACTTTGTGCGAAGCACGGTAATAAGCCTTATCAATTCAATTATAGATGTACTTCCTTTCTCTTAAACCTTCAGCCGGGGCCTATGTCGGGAACTCTAAAAGTAATACTACTAATCCTTAAGACTGACTTTAACCAAATTAGCTGCTCAGCTCCTTCAAATTGGGGTAGATGATAATGGAAGAGGCTGAGTTTTCTAAGGCTGCAGTTTTAACAACATAAGAATCATGTTTCATATAACCAGTCAGTGAAAAATCTTGCTGGCGACAAAAATTTTTCAAATGGTTCCTTTTTTTTTTTCTTTATTTCCTCTGAATCCTCAGGCAAATTCTGCAGAACAGTTAAAGTCACCAATGCTCTCTGCTTGGGTGATATATTTCAGTTCTGCTGATAGGAATAAAAACTTCTTTCCACCCACTAGAATTTCATGAACTTATCCTACACTGTAAGTGATGCTTTGGACAGGGAATAAGTATGGTAGTATTAGCTCCAGTCGTTTTATCATTATAAATAACAGAATCCTCACTTTGCTCACAGCCTCCATTTCATTTGGCCAAACTTCTACCAGGCTGAAGTCACATTTAATTGGTTAGGCTGTTCAGTTTCTTTTTAAAAATGCTTCTAATACCATTGCTGCCTATATGTACAAGTGTGAATAAAAAGAGTATGCAATCTGTAGTCTTTTCCACACTGAGTACACTAACAACAATTAGTAAATAATTAAAGAATAAGTGGTCATTTTAAAACTCGTGTTTTTCTTTAAAAAATTTTCACTTTCTAGCACTTAAAAAATGGGTCTTAAAAGTGCCCTATTAATGTCCAATGCGGTTCCCCACTCTGTCCCACCCATCCAAAACCTGCTACAAATGCTGGATTGAGTTCATATCAAATAATTTAGCAGTACCAAGATTTTTCAAATAGAAACAGTGTTACTGACTTCTTCATATTGGATAACAAAATAAGGGTAACTCTGATCATCATTAAAAATGACAAAAATCTGAGGCTCAAAGAAATTATCCACACAAGAGTCATACAGGTCACTGGTAACACTGCCCGGATTGACAGGAGGTGGTCTTCTCATGCCATGACTGCCCATCGTGTATCTGCCAGTTAGCACTTTGGCCAGAAACATGAAATGGACTCCTTTGGAGGACTTCTTAGAAAAGTTATGAGAATAGCTTGCCTTCTTTGCAAAATAACTGCCTTGTCCAAACATTGTAGCATGCTTTCCACAGACTCGAGGGTCAAAGTTGTGCTTGCAGATTCCATCTACCACATCCTGGGATGTTCCATGAAATAAATGTCTTTCATTGATTATCCTGTCACGGCCAAACATTTTCCTGTTCATATATTCCTTTTTCCTAATGAAAAGAGTGGACAGGGAATTCAGAAGAAGGAGGTATAGATCAATTTAATAGGCAAGATGTAGTCATAAACTCATTATGGTTTCAATGAAGAGGAAATGTTAAAGTAGTTTTCAAGGGCAAAATGCCATCAGAGAGCATATTAAAAGTTTAAACTGATCTTTTCCACTGCAGACAAGAAGAGCCCCCGCCAACACTTATTCACTTGCTGTCTCTTCCATTTCAAATCTAGTTCACAACCTTACTTTCTCAGGATAACTTCTTTGTCTAATTCCACCAACCTGAGTTTCTCTAAATTTTGAGATTACTCAAACCTGCATGTATTCCTTTTGTACTACATTTGTTTTTTGTTGATTTGAGAGGCAGCATAGTCAAGTAATTAAGAGCAAAAGCCTCTGGTGCTAGACTGCCAAAGTTCAAACTCTAGCACATATCTTATTAGCTGTAGGTCCTGTGGCAAGTTACTGAACTTACATGGTCTGTTATGAAGAGTGTATGTGAGTTAATATATGAAAAAATACAAACATATTAGATTTTGTGAAAGCCTTTACTATTATGTTCTGCATCTGTCATTAGTACATTAAGAAAAACTCTTAAATTTCTCATACTGCTGACTCACCTTTTATATTTCTCCCAAAGAAACTGGTTTTGGACTCTCAGTATTTGCAAAATTCTATATTTAAACTCAGGCACAGTCTTATGAAAAAGATTATAGATGATTCGATAACTTTTGTCCTCTACAGAAACAGGCACTTGGATGAAGTCCTGAGATGGATGCATATAAATCCAAGTTTCAGGGTAAAAGTTTGCTGAGGTGACCCCATCAGGGCAGATGATCTGTGATGATGAAGTTGCTTCAAGAGGTGGAGGAGCCTGTGTGGGAACACCACCAAGTGTCCTGGAAGGGAGAGGAAGAAATGTCAGTGTAAAACATTTAAGTACATCTCACATTATAGCGCTCTAAAGCAGTATCTAAAATTGTAATTTGTATAGCTTAAGTGCTTGTTTAAAAAACAATATAGAAAATGCTACGTATTTAAAAAAAAATCTCCAAGTGACATTGCCTGTACACAGTTAACCTATTATTAGCTTCTTCCCGGCCTCCTCCTTGTGGAGAAAACTCTGGAATGTACTGCTACAGGCAGGCAGGCAAGCAAGAGACAATTTATAAATATCTTCACTTTGAACTGTAGACTCCTCTTTTGCCTATACAGTTAAAGAAACTCTAAGAGAGCAGTGATAATTTATATGTATTCTTCAAACTTTGCTGTACTAAGCAGAAAATTTACCATTACTAAAGGCTCTATAGGTGGCGGGGAGTGGATTGATGGGGAGACAAAGGCAGGCAGGAAAGAGGGAGCTTACAGGAAGATGACATGAAATATTAAAAATAGAAAAGCTTAGAGGTGCCTGCGTGGCTCAAGTGGTTAAGTGTCTAACTCTTGTTTTAGGCACATGTCATGATCTTATGGGTTATGGAGGCTCCATGCTCAGGGGGAGTCTGCCTGAAGACTCTCTCCCTCTGCTTTCCGCCTCCCACCCCTGCATGCACACACATGGCTCTCTTTCTCTCTAAAAGAAATCTTTGAAAAAAAAAATTAAAAAGCTTATACTTTCTGTGTAACACAAACAAAAATCATTGGAGTAGGCACTGAAAGCTGACATTTGGCATTTGCTTCATTTTTCAATGTCATGTGTTAACAACAAAGTCGTCAGTTGTATCCAGATTTTATAGCCTTAGGTGTGCTTAAGATGAAGCTAATTACTTTAAGCTTCAGACACCAGAATGTATATCCTTGAACCTTTAAATTTAGTTTTAGACACTTTGACAGGTGACTTTCTATTAAGTAGCAGCTGAACAGTTATTCCTGCTCAATTAAATGCTTAAATTTAAATTATATTTCTTGGCCATTTTCAAAACAGAACAAAAAGGAAGATCAGAGAGAGAAATTCCTGGCCCTGAGACCCAGATTCAGGGCCAGGGTACCGTAACACTCTTCAGCATAGAGTGATGGTCACAAGGAAGCAGTGGATTAAACTAAATTTTCAGAAGAGTTTTGTGACACAGAAGTTACAACCATGAGTAACTGTGCATCTCATGTGCAAGAGCCTATCTTACCATTACCCTCCTCATAATCACAGCTGCCTTACAGTAAGCACATACTATGGACAGGCATTTTACATACATTATCAGTTACTGTCCTAACAACCCAGCAAGATGGCTTGGATATCTGTACTTTTCAAATAAAGAAACTGCTAGCATAGTAGCAAAGAACAGAGACAGGATTTTAATCCAGGCCTATCTACATAGTTTCTAGATGCATACTCTTTCCACTGCTATATACCTCACAACACACACACACACACACACACACACACACACACACACTCTTTCCCCTCAAGGCTTGAAAGTGATGGATGTATATTAGGGCTGCAATGCAGGTTTGCCTGACTCCCACTACCACCACCTCCATCTCACACAGTCTTTTGACTTTTAAGAGATGGCTTGATAAGAAGTTAAAAAGCTATAGAGGCATAACTGCCTTCTCTAACACCTGCCCCCCTTCAAGTGGTTGTGCCTACGATTTAGCATGCCTCAAGATCCCTTGGGAGACAGAGACAGGAGTTCTGAGAGGAACCAGGACTTACAGAATCCATACAGTTCAGGGGTCAATTTAAAGGGGGCACTGGCTTCTCTAACCTTCCTGGCAGAGGCATAATTGTTCTTGTTCTCTGAAGCGTTTTCATAAAGCCCTGACAGACTCCTCCAGAGCCTTTATTCACTGGCACATTTTTCTGAAGAGAGGCCCCACTGCTTTAATCAGATTCTGAAAGGTAACTCCTTCAAAAGCCATCACTATTCTGGAGAAATGGCAGGAAACACAGAGTATAAGTTCCTTATTTTTAGCTGTTCCTTCTATTCCTGTTCTGCAAAAAGAGTAAGTTCCAGCCTACCAGATTTTCCAGGATTATTAGGGATTGAAGTTACTAAAAGAGGTTTCTCTCTCTCTTTTTTTTTAAAGATTTTATTTATTTGTCAAAAAGAGCGAGAGAGAGAGCACGCGAGCGAGCACGCGCGCACAAGCAGGGGGAGTTGCACGCAGAGGGAGAAGCAGGATCCCTGCTGAGCAAGGAGTCTGATGTGTGACTCAATCCCAGGACCCCGGGTTCATGACCTGAGCCAAAGGCACATGCTTAACCTACTAAGTTCCCCAGGCGTCTGCCAAAGAGTTTTCTGAGTTGGGGAAGGAAGGTAAAAATTCTCCCCACTTTACCCAAAATAGGTTTTAGGCTGTTCTCACAGACGTACTGAAATCCTGGCACTGACCAAAAAAAGATTCATAGATCTTGAAGATGAGCCTGTATAAGTAAATCCTATCCATCCTAAAACATTAAATTAGATTTTATATTCATAATTATCATCCATTCCCATCTATAGATGCTTACTTTTAATAAGCCAATATCCTAATTGGGCTAAAACATTAAAATGCATATAGACAGCTGTCTGATGAACTTCTACACTACACTTGCCATGAATTAGAAATACATATTCCAAGCACAGTTATAAATGTGGCTTTATTTTCTGAGGCTGCTGAGTTTGTGTTTAGCTCATGGATATTCCAATGACATACCATGTGCTTCACAGTGCTGTACCAGCCTTCTTCAAAGAGGCAAAGTTGAAGGGTCTAGAACTTGCACTCAAGGACCTCTGAAGAATGGATTTTCAGAATTCAAGGTCATCTTTTACACTCTCCTTCCCTCCCCTTACCATTTCAGAAGATGTTTCCTAACCCACTTTCAGTGACGAAGTAAAAATTAATTCATTTTATCTTTTTTGAGGGGAGAAGTCAAACCCTATCAGGCTTTCCCATGACCACAGAGTGACTGCACAGGATAGATGTCCTTCTGGCTGAAATGAACTCCTACACCTCTAAATTTGAGATTTGTTTGCTTATGCAGCCTCAGCTTAAATATTCTAAGAATATTAAAGAATAAGCTCTTTTTTTTTATCAACCTCATTAAAAAGCAGCAAGCACAAGGAAATAATACTTTCTTTGGAACTATGAGTGATAGATGTTAACTAAACTCCATTGTGGTAATCATTTTGCAATATATATGTATGTCAAATCATTAGCTGTACGCCTTAAACTGACAGAGTTGTAGGTGAGTTATAGCTCAATGAAACTGGAAGGAATTAAAAGCACCAGGGAAACTCTCATTTAGGAGGAGTCAAATTTGCAGGAAATTCATAGATTAAGTCAGCCAGCCCCTCTCCTCACCTCCCTTATTCTGGCATTCCCAATTCCTAGGCATCTCTTATTTCCTGATAACTATAGCCTTTTTTGACATTTACGTTTTAATCTGACCCTCTACATTTACTAACATTTAAAAACAAAACTTTCTTCCTGGCTAAGATTAAAATCATAGTCTCTCTGGAATCAGTTTTGCAGCCTGCTTTTTGAAACTAATCCCTCTTCTACTCTCTTCCCACTAGGCCAGTCTGAGTGCCTCAGGGCCCCAGACTCTAGGGCAGATAGGAACTGAAGGGCTGCATTTACCCATTCCACCCTGGTGAACTTGCTGCTTGCTTCTCTGCTCTTTTCTCATTGAAGTGCCTGCGTAATCTCTTTGATTTGCTAAGCTCTTACTTTATACCTGATTATTGCTGTTTTAGACAAAAAGACTAAACAGGAGATTTTTAGAAAGAAAAAGGAAGAAATAATTGACTGACTTTCTTTGTTCTCTTATAAACCTATGTTACAAATAGTAAGGTGCCAAATTTGTGGCATTAATTCTACTACTGCTTATAGTATTTTCATAGTTTGTACTTTTACAAAATAAGCCTAAATTTAAAAAGAGGGGGAGGGATTATTTCATAATTACTTGTCTTAGGGTTGAAACAAATCAATGTTCACCATTCTGTAAAACTCCCCCATCAAAGCAGCACTTGAATGAGCATTCTTACTCTCACTCAGAGGCTACATCTTGCTTGATTGGCTCAGCATGCCAAGCTGCTGGTCTCACTAATGAGTCCTACCATCTCACTAGGAGGACAATATGTTCCTAACTACTGGACGTGGACACTATCTCCAGCTGTGCTAGTGAAATCACAGAAATGGCATTTTTATTAGTTTCTAATAAAAAAAAAAAAAAAACCCTACAAGGTAAAATTTTTCACATTTGGACTAGGAAGAAAGCACACATTTACCCAAAGCCAGCATATATTTCTAAACCAGCCTTACTAAAAATTGCTTTTGGATACTGAGCATTTCAGGGATTTTTATTCATTTGTATTTTGTTTTTAATGTTCCCTCTGCAATCTCATAATAAGAATCATTAAAATTCTGTCATAATGATCTGGGAAAAGCACAGTTTGAGACTGGGAAAAAAACAAACAAACTAGTAAGAATATAAAAACAGCATCTCTAAGATAAGTAGAAGAGAAAAACCAGTATTACTCTAGACCTCCCCAGTCCATAAAACCAAGTAAATCTAGCATTATTCTAAAAAGCAACCTCTAAATATGGTATATCTGATGAGAGTACACAAAGATTTCCCTAGAGTTACTTTTTTTCAAAGATGGCCATGCTACTGGTAACAGGCTCCACCTTTTTGGCATCTATGGAGATGTACTGGTGGGCTATCTAGGGGTGGGGAAGAGGACTTGAGAAAATGGAAAAGCTCACCTACAATTAATTCAGAAGGTTGAATTCAGTTTCAACCTAGAAGTATGACAGGTAATTTTAGGGAGTAATACAGGAAGGTGGACCTTACATAGAAAATGAGAATGCAGATTCTTTGAAAAGAATCTTTCCTATGAAAATTCACTCAAGGAAGAAGACCTGGAGAACGCCACCTTGAAGGGCTCTCCCTGCTTGACCTTGCAGTTTACCTGTACTGGGAGGCAGCCCCATTACATGGATGGTTATCACCAGGAAACTCCATCTTTCAGAAAGGAAGCAAATGCGAACTGCCTTAGACCAGATATAATTACTTTTTGTTGTACAAAAATGTTACTTCTCTTTGCTTTTCAGTTCAAAAAAATCAACTGGATAATCACTCTTTTAGTTAGGTTAATTGTAGCTTATCTAAACTCTACTCTTTGAAGAATTAAACCCATAGAATAACTCAAAATTTCACATTCTAGAAGTAATAACCAAGTCAGTCTCTTAATTTAAAATCTTTTACTCTTTGTCATTCAGTTGTATATTTACATAAAATGAGAGTAAAGATAAGGCTTTCCACTGACACTTACTGTAAATACGGAAGCAGTGTAAAACAGGAGCGGAAGAGGGGTCTCCTTTTTATTTCTCTCCTGAAGAATGAGTTGTGAAGAATATAGTGGTTGTTCCACATCATAAATCGGACCTCTTTCAGACCTCGAGAGTTGGCTTCTTCAATCAATCGAATAACAGACTGGAGTAGAAAACAGAAGGTAAAGGAAAAAGAAGTTAGAAAAAAACAATCACTAGGAAATATGAAAAATGTTACTCTAACTAAAGGCAAAAATAGTTAACCTTGATGTTAACATCAGAAAAGCTTCAATAAAGTGCAGAGAGTCAAATTAATTCCCTTTACACACAGGATTTTTGGAGAGGGGGAAGGGGGGAAAAAACAGAATAGAAAGATGCTCCTTCTTCAGAAGAGCATGGATTTCTATTATGAAACATGTGAGACCCAGGGATCAACTCTGCTCTATTTTGAGGCCTTAACAATGTCCTAGAAATTTGTTTATATTTCTTAAGGGAATTTTCAGAAGAGGATTAAAGATAGTAGTGTATACAGTTCAAAGAAACTAGTTAAGTTCCAAATCCAAGAAATCTTTCAGAGGAAAAACACAGGGACATGTATTCTGAGAATACATTTTAAATAGTCTCTTATTCTCCTTGGAAGGTATTAGATATTAGTGATTACTTAAAAGAGTCTCAGAAATCTTAATTCCATTATGTATTATTAACCAAATAATATTATACTAGGTATTTTTCTTTTGCTATTGCCTTAAAAGAAAATCAAAGGGTAAAGAAGTCAGTTATCCCTTTTTGTAATGCTGGAAATGAATTTAATCAAATCAAAGAAGTTAGATCTTTGGAATGTGAAATTAATCTCTAAAGTCCATTTCATTGTTTTAAAATTTGACTCTGAATTCTCATTAAGAGGCAAAGTAAACCCATCATCATTTTAAAACCTTACTTTGTGATTTGATTTAGAAGCTATTCTTACCATCTCACACTAAGGATCCATGTACACATATGACACAATTTTAAATAACTGATTTGCCTGCACAGCTCAAGAAACATTTTCAAGTATTTCTTCCAGGGGCTTAAGAGTGCTTGTTTCGCATTAGACTTCCGAAATGCTAAGTGTAACACATGATTCAATGAACATGAGCCCAGGAGCCAGAAACAGCTAGAAATACATTAGTGCTCATCTCATTAAAATTATTCCAAAGGAGCACTAAGTCTGAGTACTTACCATGTAAATACTTGGTCTCTACAGTATTATGATACTGGGGAAAGCATTTTACCTCTCTGATAACAGTGGTATTTATGGATTCCAGATCAGTGAAAAGAAATACATCCTCAGAAAAATTGAGAATAATGTTAATTATATCAACAAGACTCCATTTTATATCAGTAAGCTCTTATATTTGTTGTTCTGTTTAGTCACTGTTGTAAAGGATTAGAAGGAAAGGACAGTGAAAGACAAGAAAAATTTAAATGCACTTTTTGGGAAAAGAACCTGTAAATACCTCAGGATACTCTCTCCATCCAAAGTGGTCCCTACAGAAGAACTTCCAGACTGTGTGGTAAATAGAGTTTACATTGCTAGAGGGTGGTGTGGACAGCCTTCGTAGTTGGTCAAATTCAGTTGTTTCATACACATTCATGGCATTCAAATCTGCCCAAAATTCTTGTCCTCTAAAAAGACCCCCCCAAAAAAGAACTGTTAATACATTTGCAAAATAGAAATATCTAAAACATCTCATCAGACATTAAAAATATGTAGTACAGCATGCTGTAGAATTTTCAAAACTTATTTGGAGTAGAAATGACACTACTGGTTGTTTCTCCATTTCCTACATTCCTTTTTTGTTTTTCTTAAAGATTTTATTTATTTATTTGGCAGATAGATCACAAGTAGGCAGAGAGGCAGGCAGAGAGGAAGGGAAGCAGGCTCCCTGCTGAGCAGAGAGCCCGGATTCGGGGCTCCATCCCAGAACCCTGGGATCATGACCTGAGCCGAAGGCAGAGGCTTTAACCCACAGAGCACCCAGGCGCCCCTCCTACATGCCTCTTCTTAACAAGACCAAAGGTTCCAGGCCATGGAGTTATGGTACCACTGACTGATGCTTATCCCACAGTATCAGCATATCACAGACCTAAACCAATCAACATAATCCCACCCTCCCCCAAACCCTGGTTTCAGCCAATCAGGGAGTCAGTTTTAAGATGAAGCTGACATAGAGAGCAGACAGAGAAACAAAAGAAACTTCTCTTAAAGCTTGCCTTTTTTTCCAGAGGCATCAGTTTACCTATCAATACAGAATACACAATATTGCCTGATGAAAGGAGAAAAAAAGAAAAACAAAAACAAAAAAAAAAAACAACAAAAAAACCAACCCCCAGATGAGACCAGTATTGCTATTTTACCCAATATCAATAATATCTTTTGTCCTGGGGGTTGGAGGGGGAGAAGTTGGCAAAACATGAAGAGCAAGATAGTTTGTATTATTATGAAGTTTAGCTGTGAGAATATTTTTGTCATTTTGTTATCTGGTCTGCTGCTGCTGAATCAGCACTTCATAAATATCTCAATACTTTGGGGGGAAAATCCCATTATATGAATCAATACCATTTAAGGAATTATAATGGGTGGTCCATTTAAAATCTCTTTTTTAATGGAACTTCATCTAGTGTTTGAAATATCTTAACCATTATTTTAAATAACTGGAAAAATGTTCATTGTACTGTTCTTTTTGTGTATTTTTCAAAATATCCCTAAGAACATATGAAAAATAAAATACATCATAAAGTAACATCATAGGTATCAGCAGAGTGACTAAGTTTCCAGACACATTCCTTCACCTTTGTACCCTTTTCATAATGGAGTTCTTTCTTTCTTTCTTTCTTTTTTAAAGATTTTACTTATTTATTTGAGAGGGATAGTGAGAGACAGCATGAGCAGGGGCAGGGGAGAAGGAGAAGCAGGCTCCCTGCAGTAGGGAGCCTGATGCGGGCTTGATCCCAGGATTCTGAGATCATGACCTACAAACGCTTAGACAACTGAGCCACCCAGGCACCCATCCACCACAGATTTCTAAATGGAGGTCTATAATACACAGGATACTCCAGATCTAGTGGCACTCACAATGACTGGTTCATGTGAAATCCAGGTGTTGGAACAAATATTCCCAATATTCAACTTATTCCCTTGTTGTAAATTAGAATTTTGAAAAGGGTATTAATTTTGACCTAGGGGTTTTGTTGGTTAGTACAACACTTTCCAAATTCTGCTCTAGGAACACGTGTTTCAAGGACTGTTAATAGGTATTCTGTGGAAAAAGCATTCTGTGGTCAAATGTTTGAAAAAAACCTGGTTACACAAAATTAAATAATTTACTTATTGCAGCCACTCCTCAGCCCCTTTAATATACTAGGTAAATACTGAAGTACCACGATGAGGGCTATAAAGTATCCTTCCAAAACTGTCACAAGGCTCTCTTCCTTTTTTTCCATGTATGCCTATTAACATCTCTCAATAAACACCCTTGGCAAATCTACCATCCTCTATCCTCATGTTCATAATTTTTGAAACAGATTCTATTTGGGGAAAAAACAAACAAACAACACCTCAAGTCATATATCCAACTAATGGTGCCAATGAAGCATGTAACTTAATAAAAGCAGTATGTTCCTTTAAAAATTCCTAAGGCGCTTCCCCAAACCCTAATTTCCGGCTTAGGAGTACAGACAGGAAGGAAGGAAGGACAGAAGGAAGGAAGGAGGATATGATCTTAAAAGTACCATATACTTTTAATTAAGTGCGAAATGGAAATAAGACAATAAAATGTAGTTTAAAGTCACATTTGAACACTTCTTGGTTTAAAATTATTTATGTTAAATAAGGGCACTTAATTCAAAAGGAAAAAGTGTTTCTGGAAAATTGTTTAAAAAAGAAGAACAAACGCTGAAAACCGGAACTCCTATACCTAAACTAAACCTCACATCAAGTTGCTTAAACGTTTTTCACTTAATTTTAGGAGAATCTGATACTGAGCCAAGAGATATTAACCTGTTTCTCCCTCTTAACATAATTTCCAGTTCTAAACAGATTTTCTTGCTTTAAGTTCATTTCCCAGTAAGTGTTCCCAATTATGAGTTAAATCCTCAGTATTTTCCTTAAGGAATTCGTAGAACAGCAGTTATTATGTTAATATGCATTATAAACAGCCAATGCTTTTTGTTGTTAAAGTACCAGATTTTATTCTGGCCACCACTCTAGCAATTTCTGTTTAAGCCTGTATTATTAAGACTTCATAGATAATGATTTGCATGAGAAAGACATCTAAAACTGCAGCTTTTGCCACATCCTCTGTGCATTTCAGTCCATTGGGTATTATGAAATTTCTATGACAAATCCTAATTTACTACAATCAACTGTTCTTTGGATTGATGTATCAAAGTACTGTTTTAGCTCTATTTGATTTTCAATATGCTTTTCTAGACTTTGCAGAGACAAAACAACAAATTTGAAAAACATTAAATTATCTTTTTATAAGATTAATTTTACCACCTGCTCTCCCTTAAACAAGGAATGCTTAAAAAATCCAAAGCCAAGAATTTCTTTTCTCCTCCATCTGCATCAGTAAAAAATGCATGCGATACAGATGCCAAATATTCAACATACACCACTCTTCTTTATCAAACCATTGTCTATTATGAGAAAGCAGTTATGAGTCATGTATGTGTGGTAATGGTGATGGTGGGCTGTATTAGGCAATGCACAAAGAATTAAACAGATGTAGTTCCCGGCTTCCAGGGGCTTCAAGAGAGAAATAACTAACAAAACATAAAACCAGAGTCCGTACATCTGCCTATCTAAACTCATCAGTGGCAAGTACATCCTGGGAATGAGAGGATAAAGAGTTAGCGTGCAGCATTATGGGACAAGAGGTGGTTACTGGTGTCTAGGAATGGATAAAGGTCAGGAAAAGAGGCTTTACTGTATCAATCAAACAGCTTTTTCTAAGAGAAAGAATTTTAGGAATAGTTTAAATAACAGGAAAAAATACCGGTAAAGAAAGAAAATAAAAATAATACCAGGGTTGTGTAAAAGAACAAGAAAAAAAAATATTCAAGGATTTTGCTTCTTGAAGAAGGGTAGGGACAGGGAGGGACAGGAGAAATGCAAATAGCTGGAAAAGGAACTCTATTAAACAGGGGTACAAAGCAGATAAGGAAATGTGAACCAGGGTAAAATAGGCAACATGAAAGATGTCAGGCCATGAACTGAGGAAGTAAGCCCAGGGTCTCAGAGCCTCAAATTTAAGAGTATGAATTTAGAGTATTGAGGTGATAAAGGGTCGAAGCAGTAAATACTGGATGTGTGAAGACTGAGCAAAACAGACAATGCTAGAGATTCGGAAGTAGAGGGAAGCTCTGTAAAGCAGGGTGCAATAATCCTGGTAGATGAGAACTCTACATGGCCTAAAGACATCCCCCACCCAGGGATGGCCAGAAAAGAGAGAGTATGGGAGATGGCCACTATATAGGATTTAGATTTGACTAAATATATCATGTGGCTAAATTAATCAGTACTGACTTCCCCAAGATATAACCCTATCATGATGAATCAGGAAAGAAATCTTATAAACAAATTGATGATTTTTGCTACAAAAGGAAGAATGAACTAGAATTGCTGAAATATTAACAATTCTGTTTCCATATGCTTCACCAACAAACACACCACCACACATACCGATGTAAGAATCCAGATACAAAACTAATCTAAAATTCTGAAAATAACACCCATTCTCATAATTTAGATGCTTTATAACAATGATTCTCCCCCTACTCAACAAATAACTTGACATACCAAGTAAAACATTTTTCAATTATTTATTATCTATGCATGGAGCACCTACACCTACCTAAGTCAGAAACAATGTCCCACAACCATCATTTCTTCTGTGTACATTTCAAATACAAAAGAAAGTAAACAGGGACCATGATGTAAATAACAGAACTACAACGAAAGCCCAAAACTATTTTTAAGTTTAATGAAACAGAAATTAGTAAGAACACGATCTCTTTGTTAGATAAATAGTTCTTGGGATTATGCATTTGGGAGCCCAGTAAGGAATATAACCATTTTAGACAATTTTTCTGTATTTACAAGTTGTTTGAAACCAATAAAGAAATATGAAAAACAAAAAAATCTTAAGTAGACACACTGACTAAGCACTGGACTGTGTGCTGGGGATAAGATGAAATGGGCCAGAGTCAGTAAGGAGAGAGAGAGAGACACAAGCAAACCCAGCGGTACGGTGTGAAATATGGCACAAAGGTGCTCTGGGAACAATTCAAAGGCAGAGGGCCTACCTCTACTGGAAATGGGGTCAGGAAAGGTATTCGTCGGAGGTATCCTAGAGTAGATGAAATGAGACAAGTCTGGCAGGCCACCACGCAGACAATGGGAGGCAGGACATCACATGCAGAGTGACTGACATGTGCAGAAGCCAACCAAACAAGGCACAAGAGACCCAAGAGTGGGCAGTACATACAGTTCATGTGAGAGGGTCAGGGTGTTATGTGTGTGAGGGGGATGATAAGAGATAAGACTGGACTGGATATGTTGGCTGGGGCCAGATAATGAAAAGCTTTGTATGCTGGGTTAAGAGGTCACGACTTGATTCTGT